GATAAGTGATATTTATTGGATCAGAAAAAAGGCAGCATTTAAAATAATTAAAAGAATTGTATATCCCACCAACCCTTGGAAGTCATGGCCCACAGTTTGGGAAATAGTAGGTTCCCTGGTGATTCCCCAAAGTGACCAAGCAACAGAATCACTAGGGAGATTCCAGGTTCTATCCCAGAGCAACCTAATAAGAATCTCTGAGGACAGGCTTAGAAATTTGTATTCTTTGCAATCTCTGTTAGTGATTCTTATGTAATTACTTAACAGTGGGTTACCATGTTTAGATTTTTATTGGGAACCAATGAACTTGATCTTTTATTTCCTTCTAGCACAAACATTCTATAATTTTGAAAGCCTGTATCATCCATCCTGTGTAAAGCTCATTTGAAATATTATTTTCATTTCTGGATATTCCAGAAAAAAAACCTCGAACATATCAAGAGGAGAAGGACCAACAGGTGAGGAGTCTGTAGACTGTGCCTCAGGAGAAATGGTTAAAGAACCAGGAGGGATGTCCGAATAGCTATCTTCAAATATTCAAAGAATAGCAAATGAGATTAGACTGATGTTTGTGGAAAAGGAAGAATGAGGATAAATGGGTAAATGTTTCCTGGGAGGTAGATTTTAGTTTGCTGTAAGTAGGATAAACATATATCGCAGTCTGCTTGAGGCAATCCCCATTTATGCCTGTTGTCCGAGAGTACTTATTAATAGCATCTCCTCTCACTCTTTGTATGTACAGCTTGGATGATAAATTGTAAGATCATCATAGCTATGAAGAATATGTTTCTAACAAATATATCTAAGATTACAAAGGACTGTTTCTTGAAGCAGGAGAAATTCAACAAGTGAAATAAATGAAATAAATGAAGACACCCAGTCAGGGAGCTTTGCTTGATCAGTTATTTTCAAAAAAGCAAAATTTTTTTCCCAAATGAAACCTTACCCAGGATCATAATATGTAAAATAGAATCAAACGTAGTTGAAAGGGACAGTAGACCCAGGCTCCAGCTGCTGTCTGCCCTTTGCCCCTTGAGATGGTGCCTGAGGCACCTCCAGTAGAACCCTACGAGTTAATAGTTTGAAAACCCTGCTGACTGATGATCATCCCTAGATGACCTTTCCAATATTAAGGTCTAGAATTTTTTGATGACTCAGCATTTTGAATGCAGCAGTAAGATGACAAGGGAAAGAATGATATTCACTAGGCTTATAATTCCTGGCTGTTATACTTTTTGAAAACATATAAAGTGCATACAAAATTATTATATTGTGGGCTTAAAAAAAATGCAACAAACATCCAATAAAATTCTCCTTTTTAACAGCCAGTGCATTATGCTAAAGCATTTTGGATGAGAGACTCTAAAAGAAATGGAATAATATTTAATAACCAGAATGATGTTTTAATAATGGAGGCAACACTTCCACCTGTGGTGAAGTTTCCTGGTTACTTCTTTTTATCAGCTGGTGCATGGTGGTGCGGATTGGGAGTGAGGGAACTGGATCCTAGTGTCAGCCCTGTCACTGATTTTCCCAGCAGAAGACAAATGCTGAACCTCTCAAACAGAGGGTGTGGTGCTTGTAGACCCTGTAGGACATTGTCTCCACTTCCATTGGATGAAGCCTGAGACTTCAGTTACTGATGGCTGAAGTTGGTTCTATCAAACAGTTGAATACTCGTGGTGACTGATAATATTGGGCCCATTACTGAACATCTTGCTTCATTTTCCTTTCTGTAAAATTAGGGTAATAAAGCCTATCTCAGGGTTGCTTTGAAGTTCAAAAGTATATACTTCGGGCACTTAACTAGTACACCACCAGGGCTTATACATATATATGTGTGTGTGTGTGTGTGTGTGTGTATGTATATGTGTATGTACATATGTATATATATACACACACATACATATATACAGACATATGCATGTGTGTGTATGTGTGTAAATACCTGACACTGTAGCTATTAGACTGTTTTCATTATTTCCTTCTGCCAGTCACCAGGCAGAGTTTGTTCTTCAGGGCCAATAGAATAAATTTTCATCAGTGTAGGGTCCTTATCTGTAGCGTCTCAAAGCCTTTAGGACAGCTAGTTTGTACCATATTGTTTATCACCTCCCAAAATGCCAGATCCTGTTGTTTTTTCCCTCCTTGCCTAACTGTCATCTCTAAATTATTCTACCTTTCATCTCCGTTGATCCTTCCACTGCTGACCTCCCTCTCACCCTTTCCTATTCTACTTTTTAGAAGCCTAGGAACTGTATCTGAACTTATCTATATCTTCCTTCTCCTCCCGAAATGGTCTGTCTGTGTCTATGATGTAACTGATTCCTGGTTTCCCCCACTCAACTAACAAACACACTTGCTTGCACCTGCACCCAGTCACTTTTTGGCAGTGTCTCTTGTAGAAAGTGACCATTCTTTCACATTCTTATGACTTCCCACCCATTGTTGTTTGACTGTTGTTGTTGTCAGATGCCATCTAGTTGATTCTGACTCATGGCGACCCCATGTTACAGGGTAGAACTGCCCCATAGGGTTTTCTTGGCTGTAATCTTTACAGAGGCAGATCGCCAGGTCTTCCTCCCTCAGAGCCACTAGGTGGGTTGGAGCTGCCAACCTTTTGGTTAGCAGCCGAGTGCTTAACCATTGTGCCATTAAGTCTCTTTTAGTATAAGTGAAGGGTATTCTGTATTTTAATTTTTGTTTAGTTGATTCTAGTTTTTTCTAGGTAAAAAAATTATATCGTATACAATAATTAGTTCTCCTTTTCAGATTTTTGTACCTCTTTTTTCTCCTTCTAATTGCAATGGGCAAGATCCCCAGAACAATGTTAAATAAGTTGTTATACACATATACCTTATTCCTGTTTATTTTTTATTTTACCAAATAAAATATTAATGACATATATTAAATAAAGAACCCTAGTGGCACAGTGATTTAAGCATTTGGTTGCTAACCAAACGACAGTTCAAATCCACTGGCTGCTTTTTGGAAACCCTGTGGGGCAGTTCTGCTCTGTCCTATGGGGTCGCTATGAGTTGGAATCAACTCGACGACCATGAGTTTTTTTTTATATTAAATAAAGAGAATATTACTATAAAAGGTGTAAATCATATTCATTGAATATAAGATAACACTCACTATAAGAAGTACCTCTGTTTTATGGACTAAGAAGGAAAAAATCTGCCTTTTTAAAGACAACTATTAATTGTATGCTGCATTCTTATTTCAGAAATGTAAAAATATGAACAAAATGCAACTTAAGATTGATGAAATGTATATAATAGATGCCATTTTAAGTCTTACTAAATTTCTGTTAAAATTTCAATTTACTCTTGCTTTATAGAAACTTTTCAGATGTTCTTTTCTCCCCATTTTAGTGAGCTATATCTAAATTACTTTTTGCTTCATTGCAGATGTTGTGCAAACTAAAAAGCACTTTTTTTCTTGACTTGTTCTTTCCAGAGTTTTAATGCCTTTATGGTTTCATAACTTGATTATTTCTGCCTCTAAATTCCCACCATGACACAATGATCTAGCATCAGTAGAATACCTGAGTTGGAAAAAAATTTAGTTATCTTTATTCAAGAAGGGTGAGCTATATTGAAAGTTTCTCAGCTTTTCTCTCTACACGCAGAATTACTTATTAGTTCTACTCATACTAGCTTCATGCTGATACACACCATAGCATAGTAGAGCCCTCTGTCTGTTTACCTTATACACTTTTGAAGCTTGAGTTTATTTTGCCTTAGTGTCTTTTTTTTCTCCAGGGTTAACCATCCCTTACTACCCTTTTTACTTCTCATCTCCGTGTTACTTAACTTTCTTATTATCTCTAGAGGAATGACTTAGAAATCTAGTTTATACTGAGAGAGTACTTATGTGGAAGTGGTGGTGGAGTAGATATTCAGTAGTGAGTCTATATTAGAATTATGTATACTTTAAAACTCTCAGTTGAGAGAAGAGTCACTATTTTTGATTTGAAGGAGGATGATTCTGTGCACTTTTGAGAACTACAGCTCAAGGTAGACATCTGGTAATCTGTTAAACCTGGATTGTCTTATTTGATAGGGGTCTGGGAAATCTAAAAAATAAAGGAATTATAAAAACAGATCTGTACCAATTAAAACATTTTGAGGAATTTAACCTTTATATAAATGATATAAAATAATAATAAATATTGTTTTGTTTGTAAATCTTAAATTTATTTTCTAATGTAATAGGATATGAAGGATGTACTGTTTGGGTAACTACTCATAAATGATTTAAAAAAAAAAAAAACCTCATTGCCATCGAGTTGATTCTAACTCATAGTGACTCTTTAGGACAGAGTAGAACTGCCCCATAGGATTTCCAGGGAGTGACTGGTGGATTCAAACTGCTGACCTTTTGATTAGCAGCCAAGCTCTTAACCACTGCACCACCAGGACTCCTCATAAATGATACTGGAACTTAATTAAACTGGTTGAAATGATTATCAAATCGTTGTATGCCTCCTAAGCTATGGTTCATACTCTTGGAGTTCATGGATTATCTGGCCTCCAGTGTGGTCTTGATGTAAATCATGAGAGTCCAGGAATATTTTGAAGCTCAAAACACAGAAAACTTGATCTTGAGTTCCTAGCCCTGAAAAGCAAGCATTTTTCAAGTAGTATATTTAAAATAATAATAATACTGCCCACAAACTACCAGAAAATCCACTTTGAGAAAGTAGTAATTATAAATAAAGATGATATTGTTTTCACAGAGAAAAACATTTAGAAAAATTGTGGATCCATATATTTTAAAAATTGAAGGATTAAAAATATACTTCTCTTTTGAACTTGAGTAATTAATTCCAGTTATGATTTAAATATTTTTCCAAGATGAAGATTATTAGTAATAATAAATGTTATCTGTTATTTGTTCATATATATGTGTACATGTATGTATATGTATGTGTGTATAGGAATTATGTTTTTGTGTACATGTTAGTAATTAAAAAAATTTTTTTATTGTAGTGCATGCAAGATATGGGAAATACTAAAGCGAGACTACTCTATGAAGCTAATCTTCCAGAGAACTTTCGAAGACCACAAACAGATCAGTATCCTTTAAAATTTGTTTATTGTGGGTTTTAAAAATTAACCTGTTTTTCCAGTTCATATTTATCTTTTGGTATTTAGGGTGATGTGTGTCATACTGTTCTTTAGTAATGATAAAAATTGATTTTCACCAAGCTGTGCTTTGTATATAACCTGTTGCTGTTGAGTCGATTCCGACTCATAGTGACCCTATAGGACAGGGTGGTGCTCCCCCACAGGGTTTCCAAGGCTGTAATCTTTACGGAAGCAGACTGCTACGTCTTTCTTCCTTGGAGCCGCTGGTGGGTTTGAACTGCTGAACTTTTCAATTAGCAGCTGAGCACTTAACCACTGTGCCACCAGGATGCCTTGTACTTTGTATATAGTAGTAGGTTTTTAATAGGAACCTGGTAATACACTATCCACATAGTATTTTTTGTAATTATTACCAAGTGTAGAATTTTATGACCAGTTCTCACTGATTGCTGTCCAATTCTTGACTGGAGAGTTTATGTTGTATGTTTTTTTAGACTGTTATTGAGATTTGGTTTGTGAACATCCTAAGTACTGTTTTTTCATTTCCAAAGGAATTTTCTTTGATCATCTTTATGTAATAATTCTAATTATGTGGAGAATTTGGCATGGTATGCATATAAAAGGCAAATTGCATAGTTAGTAAGTGGAAGCGCTAAAGTGAAGTATGCTAATATTTACTTCTGACAGTTCATCTTTGTTACAGGTTGTGCAACTGTGTTTCTTTATGCACCTCTTCTAATGAATGGATAGAATATTTTATCACAGACATTTTAGTCATAATATTTTCACATTTTTTAAAGATAAAATAATTTGATACAGTTGTGAATTGACAGCACCTAACAACAACAGCGACTCATATTGAAATTTGAGAAAGCTCATCAAAACGATTCTGACTTATGGCTACCCTATGTGTACAGAGTAGAACTGCTTCATAGGGTTTTCAAGGCTGTGACCTTTCTGAAGCATATTGCCAGACCTGTCTTCTGAGACACCTCTGGGTGGGCTCAAAGCACCAAACCTTTCATCTAGTAGGCAAGTGCTTAACCGTTTGCACCACCCAAGATTAGCTAATTGATTGTAGGTATCTGTGATTCTGGCAAAAGGTGACATATACATTTTTGACAATAAAATTAGTTTCTTAAAGATCAGTATATATTACCGATTTATATAGTTAATAGTTGGTATGGTCACGCATGGAAAAAAAATGTGATCTTTTCTCACACAGAGATTCATGCCATTATATTTATTTTTATATTTGGACAGAAACCTTTTAAGCTATAATGGAAAGTTAGTATTTTACATTTGACTTTTTATGTCTCTGCTCCACTCACCCCCTCCCACAAATTTAGCAGTCTGTAATCCAAGGTTATTTTTGTTACAGAAAGATCCTACGGTGGGAGTGGGAGATACATTTCAGACAAAAGGAATTGTTTGATCAAAAGTATGAAGATGTGAGGGAACAACATTTTAAAATTTTAATGCAATAAGATTTGAGTTTTGTGGGGCAAATGGCAGAGAAACTGAAAGTATTTGGACTGTGAAGGGTTTTCAGTGCCATGTAGAACAGTTTTGCCTTATTTAATTGGCCCAAAGGGAAGCCACGAATGGTTTTGAAGCAGGAGAAGCACTAGAAACATTAACTTACTCCACAAGGAAGATGAGTTTGAGGTGGTAGAGATCCTGGCAGCAGAAAGATTTAATGCAGCCCTGAAATGAGCAGTGAAAGGAATTGGAAAGATTGAAAAGAAATTAGGAAGGCAGAGCGGTTGGACTAGATGAAGATTGGCTTTAATTTTGAGGAAGATGGTAAGATGACCCCAGGGTTTCTAGCTTGGGTAACTGTAAAGCGTATTTACTGAGAGAATGAATTCAGTACCAGATGGAGGTTTAAGGGTTAGGATCGAAAGATAATGAACCATGTTTTGTTACTTTGGGCAGTTTAGGTGTTTGTTGGCCATACAAGTAGAGATACCCATTTGGTAGTTGGAAACATGAGTCTGGACCTCAGAAGAGAGCAGGAAATGCAGATTGGGGAGCTACTTAGCATGTGAGGGATATAAAATACATGATGAAGTTAAGTTCACTTTGGGCAGTGGCCCTTTACTCTTTTTTTGGGTCTTATTGAGAATCTTGGGAATGCTGTAGTTCTTCTCTGAAAAGTGAAAGGCAGAACCCTGGGGAATAGAGCATGGTAGAAGGTAGTACAACCAAACAAATTAATGTCCTAGATGGTTTTTACCCTAGACTCCCCCTTTTCTGGAAGGGTGGTGTGGGTTTGGTTTGATTTGGGTTTTTTTGGTTCTGTCTTGACTATTACAGAGTAAATTACTTGAGATTCTTCACAGTTGTAGTAGTGTCCTTTATGTAGTACTTTATGGATGAAAGCAATTTCTAAGACATTTAATCCATTTAAACCTTGATTCCACATTGTTTTTAAATAAGGCTACTAATGATATTCAGGGAAAGACAGTATATAACTTGTTGGTATCTTCATGTATTGAACTCTTGTGTGCCTCATTTTATACATATTGGTGAAAAATGCCTTTTTTAAAAATTTTTTATTCTACTTTAGGTGAAGGTTTACAGAACAAATATTTTCTCATTAAACAGTCAGTACACATATTGTTTTATGACATTGGTTAACAATCCCACGACATGTTAACACATTCCTTCTTGGCCTTGGAGGACCCTTTTTTTTTTTGGTGAAAATATACATAGCCAAAGATACACCATTTCAGAAATTTTCTACATGTACAATTCAGTTACGTAGATTACTTTCTTCCAGTTGTGCTGCTATTCTCACTTTATTTTTTTTTTTATTGTACTTTAGGTGAAGGTTTACAGAACAAATAGTTTCTCATTAAACAGTCAGTACACATATTGTTTTATGACATTGGTTAACAACCCCATGACATGTCAACACTCTCCCTTCTTGACCTTTTTTTTTGTTTTTGGTGAAAATGTACATAGCCAAAGATAAACCATTTCAAAAATTTCTGCATGCACAATTCAGTGACATCGATTACGTTCTTCCAGTTGTACTGCTATTCTCACTTTAGATGAAGGTTTACAGAACAAAATAGTTTCTCATTTAACAGTTAGTACACATGTTGCCCTATGACAATGGTTAACAACCCCACTACATGTCAACACTGTCCTTACTCAACCTTGGGTTCCCTATCACCAGCTTTCCTGTCCCTTTCTGCCTTCTAGTCCTTGTACCTGAACTGCGATGCCTCATTAGTCCTGTTTTGTTTTATGGGGCTGTCCAATCCCCAGCTGAATGGTGAACTTCGGGAGTGACTTCACCACTGAGCTAAAAGGGTGTCTGGGGGCCATACTCTTGGGGTTTGTCCAGTCTCTGTCAGGCCAGTAAATCTGGTCTTTTTTTGTGTGTTAGAATTTTGTCCTACATCCTTCTCCAGCTCTGTCCAGAACCCTCTGTTGTGATCCCAGTCAGAGTGGTGAGTGGTGGTAGCCGGGCACCATCTAGCTGTACTGGACTCAGTCTGGTGGAGGCCTTGGTAGCTGTGGTCCATTAGTCCTTTGGACTGATCTTTTCTTTGTATCCTGTTCTCTTCATTCTCCCTTGCTCCC